ATTCCTCTTCAGACACATGCAATACATCTTAGCACTGGCGTGGGTCTCTATATGGCTCCTCCAGTTTCAGAGCTCTGCCTCCATCAGTGTAGCTACATGTGGCTTGTCAATAGGAATGTCTACAGGGAGACAGAGAGAGAGAGTGTGTGGGTCTGGCCTCCAGTGAGCTATTTATTTCCTTAGCATCTCAAAATGAGGTCATCATGCTGCTACCTGATTGACAGGCTAAACTCCACCCCTTCACTCTTAATAGTCTCGAGTTGACACCGGATTATGTAACTACCACACTACCTGTGGGCCAGCTAACCCCTGGATCATGTATCGTGTAGCTAGAGCTTGAGGCTACTTCGTGACCTGCTTTGCCATGCTGCTGGTGCATACATTGCTTGAGCTTGAGGTTGGTGGATCCTGTCACCTTGCGTTGCTTGTGTTCAATATCCCATCGGGGCCTGCTTTGCTAAGCTCCTGAGTTAGTGACTCTTGGTGACCTACCGAGCTGATTGCTGCCTGTGGGAAGACCCTGCTCTCTGCTTCCTTGACCTTGGACCTGGCAGCACATGTGAGTTGAAGTTTCACTTCATCACAAACTGCAAAGTTAATGGTTCAAACCACCAGCCATTCCTTAGGAGAAAGATGAGGCTGTTTTCTCCCATAAAGAGTTAGTGTTGGAAGCACTACATAGGATTGCTAATGTATTAGAATCAATGGGAGGGGGAGAGAGAGAGAGTAAGTTTGAGTGACGTTCTTAGGGGGTACTGCGGTTTCAAGTATAGCTAGAATTTTATATGCTGAAAGAAGAATTTGAAGATATAGGCAGTTTACTGATGACAAATGGAATTCGTGGAGGCACATGTAAGCGTCTTTGAAGGTCAAGGGGATAATGAGAAATTATATCAATTAGAGAATGGAAAGCTTGGATATTTGATGGAAGTGAGGTAATTAGGAATATGAAGCATGATGAGATTTGTCAGTATTCTGCCACTCAGTCATGATTCTTTTACTGTTTCTTGAGCAAATCCGATTTGTTTACTTTTCTGTCTTCCCCTTGGATCTTGTCTGGTGTATTCATACCATTCAGATCTCTGATCGAATGTCACCTCCTTAGTCAGGCCTGGCCTGACTACCACGTCCACCTCTATTTGTCTTTTTATTTCCTTTTTTCAGTTTCTAACCCCTCTTCTTTCTCTTCCCCTCCTTACTCTTTCCTTATCACCTAGAACAAGGTAGATGTTTAATAACTATTTGTTGGAATGAATATAAATTGAAATGTCCCTGATGCCTTTTAAAAAAACTTTCAAATTAATTTTACAAACTTTTTAGTAGTAAATATTGCGTGAAATGGCTTTTTATCATGATTTGATTTTCTCCGACAGTATACATGCGTGCATGCGCGCATACACACTTGCGTGCCTGGAGTTTATAAAGAGTACTTATTCTGAAATTTATCACTTGTTTACTTAATTAATTTAAATGTAGTTTTAAAAGTACTTGTTTCACAGGGAATTCAGGAAAGATAAACCCCTCAGGAACAGTAATGGGAGTAGCAATATCTCGAGGTGGGGGGATGGTCAGGGAGGGGGCTGGGTGAGAAAAGAGGAATCCATCACAAGATTGGACATCTAGTCCCTGCTCAAGGGGACGAATAACAGAAATGTGGGTGAAGGGAGACAAAGAACAATGTAAGATACGAAATAACAACAATATATAATTGATAAAGGATACAGGAGGGTGTGGAAAAAGAGGAGCTTATATCAAGGGCTCAAGTAGAAAATGTCTTGGAAATGATGATGGCAACATCTGTACAAATATGCTTGATACAGTTGATGTATGGATTGTTATCAGAGCTATAAGAGCCCCCAATAAAATGATGGGGGGGGTAATAAAAACCCTCTAAGTATCAATAAAATTAAAAAATAAGTGTTTAGATTAAATTCCATTTTGTTGTTATGGCAGGAATATTGGTTTTTATTAATTATGAGAAGATGGTTTGTATTTTTAATTTTCTAACTCAAATTTTGCCTTTCTTCACTGGCTACCACTTAAGCCCTGATCTGCTTCCCTTAGGGAGAACTATGTCCATTTGGGAAGCAAAACCTAAACAATGAATAGGTGCAATGACCATACAAGATAAGAGTCATGACAATGTTATTCCAAGGTGAAGCCTGGGGAATTAGTAAGTCTAAGTGGTACAACAGTAATACCGACCCACTTCAGAATTTGAAATAGTATATTACTCAGTCCATGAGATAGCGTTATTCCTTTGTTCCTCGAGGCCTCTGGGTCCATTTATTATCCTGTAATAACTGACATTTGTGTTTTCATTGCAGTTGTCGGACAGGTAACCGTAAGAGCTTGATTGTGACCTCTAGCACATCGCCTACACTTCCACGGCCACACTCACCACTCCATGGCCACACAGGTGAGTGTTTGAAAGCTAAAAAGGGTGGAGTGGAAGAGTGGCTTCTGGTGTCCAGTTTCCACTGGGCATCTGCTACTGTTTGTTTTTTCTTGCTTCTTTCTTACTTTGCGTAGTTCAGTACATTACCTTGTCACTTCACTGGGCAGAGTGAAGCATACAAAGCTCATGGATGCTTTCTGTTAGGAAAATGTGTTTTGTTTGCTTTTGATTTGTAGTTGTTTCCTATCTTGCCCTCTCAACATCTGTTTTGGTCAGGTGTGTGTGTCCTGGTTCCATAACCTCTGTTCTAGAAGGTTAAGTGTATATTGCAGCTCCAGTCATTTTGGGTCATATGATGAGTGGTCCCAGAACCTTTTGTTCTGTTATGCCCAAGAATCAAGACTTCCAGAAAGGATTTCTGCCCCATAAAACTCCTGTTAACTTTCCCTATGTCAAACCAGGAGACAGCAAAAGCAAGAGGAATATTTATTCCCGGTTGCATTGATTTCATGTGCTGGAATTGAAGTGCATGATCTCATGCATTCGTGGCTTGTTCTGTCAAAAATGGGCTCTTCCAGACAGTATATTGATTTGTTTGCTGCTGATTGAGGGATCTGTACGAATTATGCAACTTGGGTTGATTCAGACATACCCTGCTCTCCAGATGAAAGGAAAAGACCTTAAGGACAGTAGCCATTTATTTTGGGTTGGACTTGTATTTTTGTATCACAGGGGAATCTTGGTATTTTCAATGACCTCTTATATATACAAAAGCTAGATCCCAAATAAGATAGACTGAAGAGGAATTGACACGAATTACAGTCTTGGTGAAGAACATTAAATATATCATGGACCACCAGAAGATTATATTTGCCGTGGAAGAAACCAAGCCATAATGCTCCTAGTAAGTGAAGATGGCAAGAGTTTGCCTCACATACCATGTTATCAGGAGGGACCAGCCCCTTGAGAAGGACATTAGAAGGTCATCAGAAAGAGGAGGACCCTCAGTGAGATGGATTGACGCAGTGGGTGCAACAGTGGGCTCATAAAGCAATGATGTGAGAATGGCACAGGCCTAGGCATTGTTTCATTCTGTTGCACATGAATCACAGCTGGCTCAATGGTACCTGGTAGCAGCAACAGCAACAGGAGACCCCAGTCTTAAGGGACCCAACTGTGCTGAAGAGGCAACTGTATTACTTACATTTTCCATCACTCCACTGTTTACAGTGGGAATTATAGACCTAGGATTAATGGAAAAGGAGCTGGCTTGGAATCCCAGGAACCAGTTCAGAGTTTCTGTTTGGGTAAACCATGAGCACTGTTGTTTAAAGCCTGAATTTGTCTACCTTTGGTCAATTAAAGGTATACCAAAGCAGTACCAAAGGTGTGCTCCTCAAAGCAGATCAGATAGCACAGGACTGTTCCCTTGGGGTTTATCTCCCTTGCTCACAACGTGCTGAGCCTTTGGCAGGAGAAAGCAAAGGTGCAGTGGTTGTTTGATTTTATGTCGACTTGAATTTGTATGGAAGTGTAGAGGTCGAGTCCAACCTATCAACCAGGTCATGGCCTGGTGATGCTTCCGAGGAGGTGTGGCCTTTTCATGAGAGAGACACTGGGGCCCCTCCGCTCTGTGCCCTTTCACCTTCCTGCTTGCTGGGTCTCTGTGCCTGCCTCTAGGGGCGGCCCCATGTGGGCAGTGTGACCCTGAGAACTGTTAGGATTCTGCCATGTTTTCACTGACCTTGGATCCACTCGACTCTGCACCTACATCCCACTTCCCCTTTCTGTGACATCCACCTGCAGCTCTGAGAGGCTGGAGAGAGCTATGGCTAGCATCGGACCCATGGGCTTGTGAGACTGGGCGGGGATGCCTTCTTGATATAAGATTATGTCTTGGTATAAAGCTCTTTCATGCACATATATGAGTGTCATTGGTTTTGTTTCTCCAGACAACTCAGCCTACCACAGGTGCTTATGAAGACGTTTTCTAAGGACCCTGAACCTGTAGGCTAGACACTTACTGTGCCTGTGACTCTTTTCCGTAGTCAATAAATACCTGCTGCAGTACTTGTCACATTAGAAGATAGCAACGAATTGGAGATATAACAGCATTTAAAGCAGAGCTCTCATTGTGTTTAGGTACTTTCAGCCTAGAGAGTGATTAGGTTTTAGATTAGTTCCGAATAGCACCTTCTGCCCTGAAACTACAAAAACTTAACCATACCTCTAGTCTGGCCTTCTCATCATACAGAAACAAAGTTAGCATGTCTAGTCCTTGTATGTAAATTCACAACAGTACGTAACGTGAGTACTGGGCAGCAATCACTACTGGCTGTGGGAATTCTGGAACACTTCATTGTGCTGATGCACATAGATCACTACATAGATCCAGAGGCAATTGTTGGAACAGAACAAGAGATCAGGGATTGTACCAAATTAGTTGTAAAACTCCAGTGGACATCTTCTCAAATCATTAAAGCATTGCGGCAGGTTTGCCAGAATGCTGTCTCATAGAAACCAGCAGTTTAGATAAATCAAGCATGCTTAGGAAGCTTGGGAAGACGTCAAAGGAGAACCTTCTTCACGAAGAAGAAACTAGATGGAAGGCCTTAGCATGGCCACTGATGAAATAGTTACAGAAGTTGGGATCTTATGTGGTTTAGCACTTTCCATTTTAAACGAACCTTTGTCCTCAGCAAGCTTTTGGCTTGATGGGTTTCAAAAACCTTGTGCAAAGATCAGCTATCTTCCCATCATTCTTTTAAGGAAGATCAGAGCTAATAATACTTGTTACATACATATCAAACTTGACATCATATTATATCTTCAAGTGATGTATATCCTTATTATTGTAGCCACAGAATGCTGAGCCCGTTTAACTTCCCATTTATCTATGGGGTCCGTTAAATAACAACCTATTGATTTGAAAATGGTTCCATTCTGAACAGGCCAGTTCAGCATTAAGTATCTACTATATATCGGCACATAGCAACTACAGTATCAGTAATAGTTTAGTACACCATGCTGACAAAGGAACTTTCCGAATGCATTCATTGTTAGAGCCTATATAGCGTAACCCATTGCATAACTGTACCACAATTTACTGGTTCATTTTCTTACTCATTAGTTTGAGTCCGGTCTGGAGATCAAAATTCCCAAATGATTTAAATAGATGAAGTTCAATATGAAAAATTATTTCAGAATGATAAAATATAAATGTGATTTAAAATGATGAGAGTGAAAAATTATTAAATGATAAAAGAGTAACTTTAAGATGTAAGGGAAAGCCATAAACACAAGGGATGCTGATGTCAAGTATCCAAGAAAGAACAAGCATGGATGAGACCCTTTTTGCCTAGGCTGGATTTAGATTTCCTCAGAGAAAATCTAGTTGCAGCCCACTAGATGGCAATTATGTTTGTTGGTTTGCCTCAGCCAGACCTGGCCCATTGTCACTGGACAATCAAGAAACAACACTCTGGTGCCCATGCAGAGCAAATTGCAGCCAGTGGGCAGGAGACATGAGCACAGACTGTGAGTGGGGTAGAGGATGGGCCAGGCATGCAGAGTGACAGCAGGAAACCTGGGACACTCAAGTCTGTTGGAAAGCTTCACTGTGGAAAGGCATTCACCAGGCCAGGCCAGCTGACTCCACACCACTCCATCCCCCCCACCCCCCACCCCCACACACACACCATCCATGGAGCAGCTGCTGGAACTAGTGAAAGGAGCCGCTTTCCTCCTGCAGTGTGCATCTAGTGCCCTTCATTGAGAAAGTTTAATGGCATGTTCATTGTAAAGGAGAAATTGTACTTTAAGAAATATTCTCCATGATTATAGAGCAAGTAATGAAGACCGAATTTGGAGTAGAGAGGTATTAGATTGATAAATGGCACAGGCATTCAGAGCATTTTGTTTTTCACTATTATGGTTGAAACTGTAACAAATATTGTGTTTCTCATGGTCTTTTGTTATACATGTTAAAAAAATTTTTTTCCCTCCTAGGATTTCTAAATGAGCATGGAATTGCTGAGTCTTGAGATTTACTGTATAGTTTTTTAGGACTAGGATTAATAAGTAAAAGACATGCATATTTTAATAATGTTTGTTTCTTATCACATCTCATTGTTTTTGAACTAGTGTCTTGGGAGAAGACTGCCTGCCCTAAACTTTAGTGCCTGTTGTTCAGTGTCAGGAATAAGCCACAGCAATCTACCCTCTTTACTCCGTCTCTTTGTGGCTTAAGCCCTTATCTCAGTTTATCTCTGTCCTCACAAGAAACCCTCTTTCATTCTAATTCCTATAATCCTCTGAACATTCCCTATTTTATCTTTTCTCTCTCATCGTTCCTCAACTTCTGAAACTCTCCCATTTTACTTTCTGGAAGTCATAGTTGCCTACAGAATCTCCTACATCCTCAGTCTGAGCACTCCTTTCTGGAATTATCCTGCAGTTTTCTTGAGTCAACACTTCAGAGAATGGAGAACACTCAAGAATTGGCTCTTATCTCTCATACTATTGAACCTAGAAGTGAGAGTAGCTGTTCTTGTTTTCTCCTTATTCTTTCTTCCTTCCTACTAATCTTATATCCCAAAGGTTGGAATTTTAGCATGAAAATGATAGTATCCACTACCCATCATTTCGATGATAAGAATCTCTACATAAAAAAATAAGTACCATAAATAGAAATTTTAAAAAATCTCTACATATTATAGCTGTAAATTTTTAACTTTTGACTTACGGTTAACCTCTTCAGTTCTAATCTTTCCTTATTCTTTCTTGTTTTTTTCCATATGCAGAAAGATGATTCATTACACCAAAGATAGATAATCGGTTCTTTGAACTACTCTTTTTCCAGTGTGATTTTCTTTCGTCTACCTCAGTCATGTATACCCATCACCACACCTTGTCTGTATAACTTCAGTTTCATACTTCCTATTCTCTAGGAAGTACTCTACCTCTAAGCCTTCTGGTTTTTGCCATGTGGGAACACCCCCTGCCCCTAAACAATCATTTGATCCTTAGGCCTCTAAATGACTGACTATATAGCGCTTTAAAATTCATCCTCTGCTATCTGATAACAGCTCGCATTTTATTTTATGGTCAAATATAATTATTTCCTTGTATGCACCCGTCTCTGCCTTGGCCCTGTTTCACTTTAGGTGCCCAACTATCAGAACCACACCCTGGTCAAATCCAACCCTGTTATCTGATCGTATCTGACCCAGTATCATTAACTGACTAAGGAAAAACCAACTGTACCTATTAACCGTACTATACATTCATGGTCCAAAAGTCAGGTAGCTAATTAATGCTTATCAAGTGATCATATTGCTTGTTCTTGATCCATTTACTCTCATTCTCCCCCCCCCCCACCTTATTGGCACATAATTCACTATCATACAATTGAACAATGCAATCGTTCAATCACATCACAGGAAGTTGTACCATCACTACCACATCTCTCTTAGAGCCTTCCCCTCCCCCCCGCCATAGTCACATTGCCTTCAAACTGAGCTGTGTAATCACTATCAGTTCTAGTGCTCCCTACTCCTCCTGCCCTCACTGTTCACTCCTGAAGTCCCTCAACTCTCCTTCTAGATGATTTTCTCACATCTTTTCTTAACCCCCCACATACCTCTTAACAAGCCAGGCTTAATTAATGGGCTTACTAATTGAGAAAATGGAAACAAACAGATGAGAACTTATATTACTAGCTGCTACTATTACATAGACTTCTATTAGTATAGCTGTACCAATAGAATCTGCCTTTCCAGCTGTATCCATGAACTGTTGATTTCCTTTGTCAAGCCAGTTCCTCCACTAGTACACTTCTTACCCACTCAAGGAATGCCATTACTACTGCAGTTTTTCTCTAATGGATTTTTTTTGTTTACTATTAAATTGTTTCTCCTGGCATGGGAATGGATATTGTTTCGTTCAATTGTACACAGGGTTGCTATGAATCACCGCCTTGATGCTACTTGCCAACAGCACTATATTCTTAAGTATTTTTCTCTACATAATCTACCAATTATTGAGAGACCTGGTTATTATAATTGTGAATTTGCAAATAGAAATACATATTTCTATTTGCAGGTCTATCAGTTTTTTAAGCTCTGTTACTTATACATGCATATTTAAGAGTCTTAGACTCAATGAAATGAATTTTATTTCCTTGTAAATTCTTTTTTCTGAAATGGACTTGGGCTCATATTAACATAGCCACGTCAGCTGTATTATACCCCTCCCCACACACGTCCCCTCCCACCCACAGTTTCTTCTCCTTTTAAACATCGTAGGATGTTAATTTCAGTAAGCAGTCTACAGGGGACTCATGCAGCACATAAAGAGATGGAGGTCCTTCCTACCCTCTGAGATAGTTGGGTGTGCTTTGCAGTCATAAGGACCTGAAGGTGGACTATTTTAAGAAACACTATATTCTGAGTCTTCACCTGAGAGCCTGTTTCTCCTTAAAGCATACGAGAGGGTACCTCCCCAAAAAACAAAAAATTTTTTCATAGCTATGTATTTAAACTTCTTTTTTCCCTCCCCTCCCTCTGCCCCAAAACTTTTTTTTACAAAATAACCTCATCACCTTCAAAGTACTCTCCATTACATTGAATACATTAGTCAAATCTGTGATTCTATTCTTAGAAGCGTTTGTAAAACTCATCTGTTTGAATGGTTGACAGCACTTCCCTCATTTTTTTCACATCCCTCTGAATTCTTGGAAACAAAAAGAAGTCGCATGGAGTGTGGTCAGGTGTGTGGGCAAGAGAGGTATGCTGTTTTTTTCCAAAAACTTGCACTGAGATGGCTGTGTGAGCAGGTGCATAGTCAGGGTGTCAAAACCAGTCCCCCAACTGCCACAAGTCAGGCCTTTTTTGTCGCACACTGTTACTCTTATCTTTTCAGAACCTCTAAATAGAAAGCTTTAACAGTCTGACTTGGTGGAACGAACTCTAAATGCACTACATTTTTGTCCGTTCAGAAAGTTGACAGATGTACAGAAGGAGGTTTGTCATCAATTGACATTTCACCTTTTTTGAAACCAGAAAACCACCTGAGTTTTTCCCCATAGCGCTGTCTTTGTAAGCTGTGTTCAACATCAGAACAGTTTCTGCGGCATTTTTTCTGAGCAGGAAACAAAATTTCACAGCTGCACACTGTACTCTTAAGTCAGTCATCACCAGAAAATTCACTGTGACCAAGAGAACCTTCCCAGGCAACGCCACTGGGCGCACTAACTCAGAGCTGAGTTGCTGGATCCTTACCTAGGAGGAAAATTGCTTACTATAAAAGCTCCGACCAGTGGAGCTGTTTTCCAGTTTTTTATTTTTGTTTTTGGTAACCCCTCATATACATTTCTTGTTAGGATGTAGTGTGCTAAGATCAATGTGCAAGAGGTTTTGGGACCAGGATCTCTGTTGCCCTCGGAGAAAGCATTTGCACACTCATTCTGTCTTTCCTAATGCCATCTGTGCTGAATGAGTTCTTCACGCCCATAGAAAATTGGGTTAACTTGATTAGGCAGATTGAGTTTAAAAAGATATCTAGGAAATAGGAATTGTCTATTCCTAGGAAATGCACAGGCTGCTGCTGGACTTAAAATGCAATTGTGAAAGACATGTGTTATAACAGACAACTTGGGAACAAGGAAGAAAATTTCTGGGCAGCCAGGCTTTTACTAAGAGAGAATCTTTAAACAGATGGTGGGCTTAGAGAAATAGCCATATATGCTAAGAGCAAATGCTAAGGGAAGATTGCGTGCCTAAATGTACTCACAATTCTCCTCCGGAGCAGACCTCCCTACAGATTTCTTTTGCTTGTCCAATCCACAGGTAGTCCTTTGGACAGTCCCCGGAATTTCTCGCCAAATGCTCCTGCTCATTTTTCCTTTGTTCCTGCCCGCAGGTAAGTGGATAGGAAACCTTTTGTAATTAGCATGTGTAGTACTTGCATGAATGTCAGTTGAATGTCACCTTCCTCTAGGTGTGTTAGCTTGGACTACAGCCAGCAGAGTACCTTGCCTGCTTTCTTCTCCCGGACTCTAATCTTCTTACTCGTCTTGCTTTCTAGACGCCCTAGGTATTTGTGTTTGAGTATTTGAGCCATAGGAGAATGGATATTAGAAGATTTACTTTTTATAATCCTCAGGGTATGTTTCAAACATACTTTGAATAGAATGGCCAGTGAGAAAAGGACTCCCAGGAGGAACCAAAGGTGTTCTATTCACCCTCTACTTTAGCTTTTTGAAGGGCCCTTTTCTTGGCCCTGAAGGTAAATGTATTAGAAGCTCTCTGTGTTAGTCTGGGTAGACTAGAGAAACAAGTTCATAGACACTCATGTCTATAAGAAAGAACGTTATATACAAGAGCAGTTGAATATTGAGAAAACATCCCAGCCCAGTCCAGATGAAGTCCGTAAGTCCGATATTATCTCATTATGTCTGATACCAATCTATAAAGCCCTCTCCAGACTCAGGAAATACATGCAATGACACCGAATGCAGGATGATCACAGGCCGGGGGAGGAAAGTCTTGTGGATCCAGTGGCATTGTAAGCATCTCAACACTGGCAGGGGTCTCCACGTGGCTTCTCCAGCTCCAGAGGTCTGGCTCCATCAGCCTCTCTCCATGTATCTTCTCCACAGGGATGTCTCCCAGGGAGTGAGCATGTGTCCTGCCTCCAGTGAGCTATTGATCTCATTAGCATCTCCAAATGCACTCATCAAGCTACTACCTGATTGACAGGCTGGACTCCACCCCTTCACTCTGAGTCCTCAAAATAACACCAGATTACTACTCTATCATACAGCCCAGGTGTGGGGTCAAGGAACTACAGGGTCTGAACTTAACCTTCCATGAATTTAGAATGATTTGTTTTATAGAGAGCCATGTGTACACAATTCTCTTTCCATTTTTATCCATCCCCCAAATGATACAACCCTAATTTTGACATCCATAGCAATTCTGGCACCTCAGTCCCTTGGTAGGGTACAGACTGGCCTCTGGAGGGATACTGAATGACGGATATGGATCCATACCATACTAGACACCAAGACTCCAGGAAAGATGATTTACTTTTCGGAACATTTTATAAGATTCTTGTTTCCCATGTTCATGTCTTAATATTTTATTTCATTTAAATTTTTTTCTTGGTTAGAGTCAGTCAATATTGGAAAACCAGAAAGATCATGGCTCCAAATTTAGAAACTTTGAGTGACTAGGGAATATAATATAACATGAGGCCAGGGAAATTCCTACGCTTAGACTAAAAAGAAAGTTATTTTGCAGATTGTTCTGCTAAATATGAGGGGGGCTTCAAAAAATTCTTGGAGAAAATAAATTAAAATATAATGGAATTTTTTCATGAACTTTTTGAAGCTCCTTAATACATAACAGGAGAAAGGGAAACAAACTCAACCATCAGCTATTTATTAATGACAATCTGGAAGAAATCCATCTTCTTTCTATCTAGGATTCTGTCTAGCTGAGAAGGACATGGCCAAATTGGGGTTATTTGGTGACTGATTGGGTGCTCCTACCCAGTTGACCCAATTACTCTATTTATCTTGAAACAAAATTCACCGTGTTCCATGAACTCATCTCTCTCCTTTTTTTTTTTTGGAACTCATCTCTCTTAACCTGGATAACCTGAACTAGTTAACCAAAGATCTAAATAGTCACTTACAATATAAAAATATACTCAATGGGTGGATTTGTTTTGCCAGCCCACGGGAAGGACTTATTTTTCCCAGACTACCTGCTTGGACTGTGTTTAAATTGTAACCTCAGATGAGGACTGAGTTGGAGCCTCAGAACCTGTCACTAGGTCCCTTTAAGTGACATTGAGCTGTTTTCCATTCATCCAATAAATACTTAACAATTACTGTTAAGTCAGACACTATGCTGGGTACTTAAAATAACATAATCCCTATTTTCTTGAACCTTACAGTCTAGTAGATTCTGTGCATTTGTTATTCCCTGTGTAAGGATTGCTGTCCCTTACACTTTCACTTAGTTAACTCATTCTTGTATTCCTGTCACATCCTCACTGCCAGCTTCTCTGAGTTGCCCCCGTATTACACATTCTAAAGGAGCCCTAGTTATTTTCTATCAACTCATCCTATTTTATTTTCAAAGTGTCACTTAACAATACCTGATAATATTTTCTTTTCGGTATCCTTCAACCGTAATTAAAAACACCTTTAACAGATATGTTGAAAGCAGCATCACATTGTTTGTTGATTGAATGGGAGGATAGAGATTTAATGAGCAAATAAACAAATTTGTAGTTATAAACTGTGATAAGCACCCTGAAGGGCAAAAACATAATGCTGCATGAAAGAACAGAAATAAAACAGAATTAGAGAATCTATACTGGATTGTCACGTACGGTCTTTCTGAAAGATTGATGTTTTTAAAAATTTAATTTCTTTTTTGAAGATTGACTTTTAAACTACAACTTGAAAGATGAGAAGGAGCTTGTCATGTGGGAGCACTGATGTACAGAGCATTCCAGGCAGAAGGGATAGCATATTCCACTGGAGACCTTGTGTCTGCTTCAGGAATTGAACCAAATAGGAGACTTGGGGGACTAGTATTGTCCTTAGGACTCAAACTGATCTGTGAATTCCAGGGATTCTGAAACTATTTGTTACTGACCTAAGCTTGAGCCTTACAGAATCACATTACTTTGGAATATCATACAAAAGACAGATAGGATAAAACACAAAGGATAGATGCATTCATCGTAAAATTTTACTTCTGATTTCCACACTAGACTAAACTCCCATGATCAGACATCACTCTGTAGGTTCCCTGGTTCTCACTAAAATGTACATCTTTTCACTACAGCCATGGACACAGAGCAGACAGGTAATAAGTAGGGGATGTGTGTGTTGGGGAGAGGTGCTAGGAAACTGCTATGCATGGCCAGATAAATAGGGTTTGTGATTTTGTGCTTGTTGAGAGCTGATTGCATTGATTTTCTGACTGTGGGCATGAACTCTGGGCTTTCAGATCTCATCAAAAGGCTCAAGGGATTCCCCACTGCCTGCTGGAACCAAGACTCAGAGCTTACATCCTTCGAAGCAGGAACTGCTTAATATTTCCAGTTGCTGAATATTTCTAAATTTGTGGCCTCAGGACAAGTCACCTAGTGAAAGTGACCGGCAGAGGAGATTGAGGCATCCTGTGACAGTATTGCATTATTTCTCAGTGCCCCTCTGCCCGTCAGTATACAGAGAACTGACTTCTAGGCAATTTGCTTCCAGTTCTATCTAAAGGAGGAAAACTTACCAATAAAAAATTTACTTGATAAGGCTTTGGGAAATCCATCCCTGAGTTATACTGCTTCCATCTTTGCCAAGTTCTGTTTGCTGGTATCGGTATGTTTCCTGTGTAGCACTCCCAGGAAACTGCAGAGTGATCAGAGTGCACATAAGTTTGAGCACTGCTGGGTGTATCTTTGCCTAGGTTCTTTGGCTAGGTTCCCGCAGAGCGATAATTGACAGTGTGCTGGCTGCCTGGGGGGCATGAGGTGTGAGTTATATGCATGCAGCATGGAATCCCAGACTCCCCTTTCAGAATTTAGCAGGGAAAGCTGCTAGATATTGGTGGTGTGAAGGAGTGCTTCAAAAGGAGATGCAAGCTTATCCCTCCTTTTACTTCCCCTGCTCTCAACCTCTTCACACCACCCACAGCCGTGGAGCCTGGGCCAAATCACATACAGCCCTGGTTCTCAGTGTTCTCTGAAAATCGAGAGTATTGATCCTCCGTTGCTAACTCTAAGGTTAATGGTAAGACACACAAGGTGGTTTTGCTCCAACTTTAACCAGGGCAGCATATTTCCCCCCAAACCCCATGAGACATTGTTTTTGCTACATATCATCCCACAGTTCAGGCATGGAATTATGTGTTCATGTTATAAAATCTGGACCTTCTCATCTACAAATGGGATGGGCTTTGGAGAGCATCCTCTCAAGATCCACAGCAGGCCACCCCCAAGTGTATCACCTTACTCCTCATTTGTAAGAGTTCTGTCATGCACGGGCAAACATCCTCCAATAGTTTTGTGAGTGGTACAAATGTTACACACTCAACTACTAACTGAAAGGTTGGCTGTTCAAATACCCAGAGGTGTCATGGAAGAAAGCCCTGGCAATCTCCTCTCAAAGGGTCAGAGTGTTGAAAAACAACCCTAGGAAGCCTTTCTGCTCTGCACACAAGGGCTGTCACCATGATTTGGAATTGATTGCACCTGGTTGTTGTTCTTTTCAGGATAGATTCTAGCCAGCCTCTAACTACTTATCATCTGTGGATTCATGCTCAGTGCAGACCCAAGCAATGGTCCATTTCTTCGTGGTTGCTAACCCAGTGGCCTGGGAAAGGCCAAAGTGCCCTTCACATGGAGTTTTGAAGTGGAAATTATTTCATCCAATGGAAATTTCCTCCTTGGCCTGATGCCTTTAATTGGAGTCCTCTGCCATTGCGTCCCTGAAAGCGATTAGGGATCGAGAGTATAAAGATGGTTATTTCAGAACCGCAGGATTATGCAGAGAGATTCTTCTTCAGAGTCACAGGCTCCTTGGTAATCAGATACCCGTCGTTGCAGTGGTAAACACACAGCAGTGGGCCCCCATGTAGAGATGAGATGAAAACATAAAATAGATACAGCAGTATTGCTTTGAGATGAGCCTATCAGTTAACCAACTGCCAGAAATTTAGGATGGAGGGACAGATAGATTCTGGGGCCCGGAAGAACAGAGCCTGTGGAAACGGTCTTCATAATCTTCTCTTACATAGGACTGATGGACGGCGCTGGTCTTTGGCCTCTCTGCCTTCTTCAGGCTATGGAACCAACACTCCTAGCTCCACTGTCTCCGTGAGTCGCAAACTCTGTAAACCTCTCCCCTCTGGGATATTGATCCTATCCTTGTGTCGTTGCCAAGTGGTTCTCAGCTTCTCCTTTCACCTTTCCTCCTTTGAACCAAACTCAGATTGTTTGGTAAGACTGAATATGGCAGAACGCCATACTCTTGAAATGCCTGTCGAAAGGGTAACCAAAGTCAGAGAAGAAATTGAGGGTGGACTTTTTTTTTTTCCAGGGAAACCCAGGGTTGGGGGCTTTAAACATGGCTTCCTTACTTCTTCCATCAGAACTGCAACCCAGAGGAAGGGTCCCCTTCCTCCTGTTCCTCTCCCTACTTTTGTCACTTTTTTTCTTTCAAAAATAAAGGGATGAAGGATTATTTGAGTTAGGGAGAATTTTTGCCTAAAGCACAACAGATGCCCAAATTGCTATTGTACACAATTAACCAAAAATAAATCTTCCTCGTTGAGCCAGGGTGGAGGCTATTTTGAAACTAGGGTTACAGGGAGTCCTCATGACATAGTGGTTATGCATTGGACTGCTAACTGCAAGATTGGCAGTTCAAGCCTACCAGCTGCTCCAAGGGAGAAAGGTGAAGCTGTACACCCCTGTAAACAGTTAGTCTGGAAACTCAGTGGGCACTTCTACCCTGCCTATAAGGTCCTGTGAGTCAGCATCGACTCAATGGCGGTGCATTTGACTCTGAGTTTAGGGTGACAGGACTGGTCATCTTTTTCAGATAGTCAACCAAATGGCAAATGTTGTAGGCTTTGCCAGCCAGCTGAAAATGAATTATAACCCAGATGACCCTTGCCCACTTTTCCTGCCACTCTTCAGGTCTTTTCTCCCCAGTTTTTCTTTTCATGAATCCCTCAGTGCTTTTAAAGTCAGGGGAACGGAGTGTGACTTACTCCCTTGGCTTAGACAGTGCGTGTACACAAATCCAAAGATCTCACCGATCTTTTGACAGCTGTAAAGCTTCAAGACTCATCCCCAGTAAGTACTACTCTTCTCATAATCCTTTACGGAAACAGATGTTTTGTTTTGTTTTTTGAGTCAAGCTAAGAGTCCTCTAGTCACTCCTGTTCCATATTTGAATGGGCTCAGTCCACTGTTGCCACTTGCTGGTTTACACTGCCCCTCCTGCTTCATGTTAGCTCCAGTTGGGTAAAGATACCCTCTGTAGCTTCATGTAGATCACTGGTAAAATGTGTCCAAGACAAGACGCTATGGAGACCTCCCTTCAGCTGTGCACACCCGCATGTAGAATAGTGTAGTGTTCCACAAGAGAAGCTTTAACTGGTAGCCAAAGAAATGCTGGTTTCTCCCCTGGTGGTCAGGCTTATGCCCTTGCAACAACCAAGGTCTCTCAATGTGCTGCCGCTTTGGCTCTGGATGGATTTAGGTCTTAATTTCTGATCCTGGCAGTGAGTTTGGTTTTTTAAATCAGTTGGTGAATGGCATGTGGGCCAATGGCATGAGACTTGCTTACTTCCAGTCATTGTGTTAGGTGAGGGGGAAACCGCTGACTCCAGACTGCATGGGGCCGCAGCAGCCACTGCATCCCACGGATGCCTGGAGCCCACTGCCCTCAAGTGGTCTGCTGTGACTCAGAGTACGCTGTTGTTGAGAGCTCTCTCATTGGACCACGTTTCAAACTCACAGTGGCTTTTGGTTAAGTATAACTTTTGGATTCCAGTCATTTTATTTCCTGCTTGTTCCTTGATGTACTGGTGTCCCTAATGTCTGGGCACAGTCAGGGCTTCAGCAGAGCCCATTCTCTGGCTAACAGTCAAAAGAAAGCATTGCTGAACCATCCGCTGGCGGGCTTTCTCAAGGTCTAAGGGGCTATCATTTGCACACTGAAAATACCCAGAACCTTTCTTGAACCAGGAAGCATGATTATTCACCATTCTGACCAGCCAAAATCTTCACTGAGGGCCAAAGGTCTATGTAGACAAATCTGCTTTTTGCCACTGAAAGAGGGTCCTAAATGTTGTGGGACCCTCACACCTCATAAAGATGTAGGTCCGATGTCCGCCAAGATTCCCAAAGGACTCAGATACCATATATACTCGAGTATACGTCAACCCAAATATCAGCCGAAGCACCTAATTTTACCACAAAAACTGCATTAAAAATGTGCTGAAAAACTCAGCTTATCCTCGAGTATATACGGAACTTTGACTTCCTCTAAAGGGCTGGAGATGAACAAAGCAAAAAGGAGCAAGGGAAAGAAGATTGTCCTTTGGGCTTCGTAGTAAACAGTGATTCTGGGAAGCCCTTGGCTGTTTGCAGTTTTCTTTCCACAGACTGCCTTGGGCCGTGCCTCTAATGGTGTTTGTTAATGTTTTCCTCTGCAGTCTTCCTGCTCCTCACAGGAAAAGCTGCACCAGTTGCCCTTCCAGCCCACAGCCGATGAACTGCACTTTCTGACAAAACATTTCAGCACAGAGAGTGTACCAGATGAGGAGGGCCGGCAGTCCCCAGCCATGAGGCCCCGCTCCCGCAGCCTCAGGTGAGCAGTGCTCTCTCTGCCCAGCACCCCAGTACCTGTGGATCTCTGCTTGCTTGTATGCCGCAAGGGTTGGCAAACGTTTTCTCTAAAGGGCCAGGTGGTAAATCCTTGGAGACTTGGTTGGCCATACAGACTGGCATAGCTATTCACCTCTGCTCATATGGTTGGAGAGCAACCAAAGACAATCTGTAAACGTCGACACAGTGGGTAAGCACTCTGCCCCCTGAAAGGTGAGCAGCTTGAATGCACAGTGGGTTGGCTGTGAGTCGGAGTTGACTCGACAGCACACAACAACATTGACACAATTAGACCGCAGGCTACAGATGGCCAACCCCTGGCATAGGACATGGGCACAGCTCAAGTGTGTTGAGTCCAGTGGAGCTCAGGGCCTTTCTGGCTTTATGCACAGTGCTCAACTCACTGCCCCAAGAAGTCTGAGAAGACTGTCAAATTGCTCATCTCTTCTCCCTTTAAGAGTGGTTCACAGTATGAATGTACTTTAAAGTAAAAGGAGCACAATAGTGTATTAACAACATAATAGTAACATCAGCCCTGATCATACTTGGCTGAAGAAGACTGTTTCAAAAGCTGAATTAAATGAGCAGAATCTAGCTCATTTTCCTGAATCACTTGGGCTGGCCTTCATCAAACTCAAACAGCTCATCTGTCTGAATTCCTTAGATTAATTGACATAACTGGTAAGTCTGTGCAGTTAAATTCACATGGCTTTAATGCCACACTCAGCTTTCTAGGGTTCTTGGGGAGTGATGAATGGCTACTATGTGTAGGGTGGGTTCCCAGAAGAGTGGAGGACCCCACAGTGTCAGCAGTGAGCTGAGTGGACCACAAAGTCTGGTTCAAGGTCATAACTTGATGAAGATAATGACTTGTGACTTCAGTAGAAAGGATCGTGAATACAGAGGAGTTGCTGCGCATCCCCGGAGTCTTTCTACACCTGAATCGTGGTGGCGGTAGCATCCGCACAGAGTAAAGGCCATCTTTTAGGCCATTTGAGTTTGAGAGGACTACATTGACATTAGGGAAATCACTGCTGCATTACTCTTAAATTCTTGGTGATGTGTTCTCAGTATGGCCACAGACCATGGGCCACTTCAGGGAGGGGTGGGCTTGATTTGGCCAGCAGACCATAGTTGGCCAACCTCTGGCATAAGAAATTGACACAGCTCAAGTGAGTTATTAAGTCCAGTGAAGCTCAAAGTCTTATGGCTTCTCTGAATCCAGCCCAACTGGGATCACATGTCAGGAGCACCAGACTAAGTAGCACCCAAACATCCTTGCAGTTACGTTGCTCAAGCTTTGAAATTAATGGAGTTGTGACCACATGGGCCAGAGGGGTAGGGTGGGAAGGATTTAGGTTGGGGTAGGGGGTAATAACTTTAGGCTAAAAAACAGGACTTGTTCTTTTCTGTGGATGACTTGGGCTCCTAACTTACTACAGGTGGATTGGCCCGCTGGCTGTGGTTTGTCTGAAAGAAGATAGAGGTGTACAGAGTTCACTTTGGTTGCTTTGGCGATGGTGTGATTGATTCATGGAACATGCAGGGTTGTACCCAGCCCCACTGGCCAAAGCTGAGAGACCTTATTATCCTGTCCTGGGAGATCACTAGGAAAGCCACCAGTGGATTCAGGAGTAGACTACCTCCTTTCTAGGCCTTTTCAGTGTCTGGTAGAGGTCTTTGTGGAAACCAAGCTTTCTGCAGGGGAGAGAAGTAGCCTAGCTCCAGATGGCATCATTGGAAACTGAACAAGGTACTCTGGCAGTTTCAGAACACAGGAAGATTCTGGAGCTCGCGCTCAGTAAATTGAGCATCTAAGGGGCGGACACTAAAGACAGTGGGAGTGAGGGGCCCTGGGGATGGGCATCTTTCCACGTGATAATTCCATAGCACAGAAGTAACAGGTTTATTTCTGTTTTGTCTAGTCCCGGACGGTCTCCAGTTTCCTTCGACAGTGAAATAATAATGATGAATCATGTTTACAAAGAAAGATTCCCCAAGGTAAGGCCTCAGTTAAAAGGCTGGTAACTCCTCTGAGGATGGCTTCCTACAGTCAGCTCCAGTGGGAAGACTGGGGTGAGGGGACCAAGTGCTACCCCCAGAGCTAATCAAGTAGAAGAGCAGAGAGGCACCTGAAGCAGGTGCGCAGGGCATGCAGGCTGCCTGAGCAGAGAGAGGTGGCAGAGGAGTGGGAGTTTGAGGATGGTGCCTGTGGACAGAGCCTGCGTCTCTCACTGGGAGATGGGGTATCTGGTGAGAAATTAGGCTTCTCTCCAAATATTAAAGGGAAAGGAGAGAACTGGAGACTTTAGTTTTAACTGCACATATGGACCCATGAGCCAGAGTCTCCCAGAAGAAGATTTGCCCCCTGATAAAAGATAATAACATTCAATACAGAGTTCTTAAGTAGCATCTCAGTACCAGACCAAGACCTCAGGGTTGCTTCCTAACATGTAAATGTGGGGTTTCCAGCTAGAAAGTGCTACGGGAGACAGGTAGATTGCTATCCTGGGATAGTTGAGAAATCTCCCTCGTACCTCTGTTGTTTGTTCACTGCAAATGACTTCTGACACCAGATACCTAGTTTTAGGCCAAACTTCACAGGTTCCACAGATTAAAGGCACAGCCCTCCTGACGTCCAAGTCTGCTCAACCACAGATTCAGAAGTCCCCAGGCCACTCTTGGTTCTTATCCAACTGGCTATAAATTCTGAGGTTCAGTCATCTACTAGAATGGCTCACATAACTCAGTGCAAGTATTATATTTCTGATTATAGCTTTATTACAACAAAAAGATGCAAAGCAGAACCAACTAAAGGGAGAGACACAGCATCAGGCCTGGGAGGGTCTCAGTTCTCTGCCTTTGGAGTAAGAATGTGACCCTGTGTCAGTCTGGATACTTTAGAGAAACAAATCCACAGAAACTCATGTATAAGAGAGAGCTTTATATAAACGTTAAGTGCACATCAAGAAAACATCCCAACCCAGTGCTGCCCAAGCCCACAAGGCCAACATTAACCCATTTGTCCAACACCAATCCACAAAGTCCTCCTTCATCTCACAAAACTACACACTATGATGCTGACTGCAGGAGGAAAGCTGAATCAGTGAATGTGTAAGCATCTTATTGGAAACATGATTTTCAAAGATACCCTTCCAGGTGGTAGCTTATCTTTTTACTTTCTTTGGTTAAGACTTTTGATAAACCAAAAATTTATTTTTTATGAGGTTTATTTATTTTTGCTTTTGTTGTCTGTGCTTTTGTTATATTAGATAATCCATAGTTAAAAGCGAGGCTTGCTAGGCTTGCCCTTATATTCTTCTAAGAATTTTATGGTTTTTGAACAGTTGTTTTAATTACATTACCCAGACTAGGAGTTAGCCATGCCAGAAAGACTAATCACATGAATAGTGGTTTGGAACCTCGAGCCATGTAAAATTGTATCAAAATATAGATAAATCATAGCAAAATGAGAAGTAACCCAGTCATAACATGGGCAAAGGATTTGAACAGACATTCCACCAAAAAGGACATAGAAATGGCCGCCACGCACATGGAAATATAGTCAGTGTGACTAGCTGTCAGAACGGTGCCACTCAAACCCACAGTGGGACAGAGCCTCTCACTCCCCCTTGGACGGCTCAGATTGAAAAACAACACAGCTAGTGCTGGAGAGGACGTGGGGAACTGGGAACACTCAGTCGTTGCTTGTGGAAATGCAACATGATACAGCTATTGTGGAAGCGTGTGGGACTTCCTTTGAAGACTAAAGATAGAGCTACAGTATGCCCCCAAAGCAAACACCCAGAGACTAGGGCATCAGTGTTCGCGGAGCACCTTCACAATAGCTAAAAGGTACCTGCGTGCCCAGTAATGTGTGAATTAATGAGAAGACGAGGTTCGTACGATGGACTACTACTCCGCCGATGGAGGATGTGGATGGCACTTGAAGTTGAGCTAGATGAACTGTCAGTCACAAAAGGACAAATGACCTCACTCATGTCAAAATCCAAGACTCGCCAACAACAACAAAATTTCAGAGCAAAAGAAAACCCAATGGAGTACAGGTCTATGCTGACAAATGGCATTGTCATGAATCAGAATTTATTAGAGGTAACTTTTTTAAAAGCATTCAAGATGGGTGGTAATTTCCCTTGTGGGGCCCCCATTTAATCCACCAATCTGGCCCCTCCAAAAAGCAGCTAGTCACTCATAGGTGACAGTGGACTCCCATAAACTCAAGCCAAGTGAAGTAGAGTTGCAGCCTCAATTGATAACCTGCCAGCCCCTGCCATCAGCCACCCGAGGGCTGGCATGGTGGGCTTGTGAACAGGGCTGTGGTGTCAGGGATGGCATGCCACAGGATCCCTGTAGAATGGACTCCCACTCACCAAGGGTGGTCTGGCTCTGTCACTGTCTAGCAACACAGGACAGAGGCCAGTGCTGAGCCACCTGGTAGTTGTCTTAATTTCCTAAGCTGCCGTAACAAAACACCAAAAATGGTGGCTTTCAAGGATAAGAGTTTATGTTCTCACAGTTTTGGAAGCTAGAAAGCCAAACCAGAGGGGGCTCGGTCCTTGTTGGTTGCCTGGCGGTTCCTTGGCTTATAGGTGGATCCTCACCCGGCATCTCCCTCCCAGTGTCTCTCTCCCATGTCCTTTTCCCCTTTGTAGAAGACACTGCTCGGCAAGGGTGAGGCTAAGCAACCACTCCACTCCGAATGACGACAGGTCATGTTGGCAGGAACAAGATTAGAGCTTCAGTGTATCTGTTTGAAGGGCACGATTCAATTTACAGCAATAACGATTATACTTCACCTTCTTCTCCCATCTTTTCATTTTGAAATTTTAGAATTGTGAAAATAGTACGAAGAACTAAAAACCATATGTCAAGCCAAACCTGACATGAGAGACCACATATTACATGTTTTAATTTGTATGAAATGTCCGCAAAAGGCAAGTTATATTGACGTTAGATACTAGTGGTTGCCAATTGCTAGGGGTAGGAATGTGAATTAGATGTAAATGAGCATGAAGGATCTTAACTGGGGTGATGAAAATGTTTTTAAACTGACTTATTGTGATGTTCAACATAGTGAATTTCCTAAAAAACATTAAATTGTAAAAAAAAATTTAATTGAAATGGGTGAGTTTTATAATATGCAATTATATTACTATTTTTTAATACCAGAACTAGATGATGTCCTACTATTGTTATTGAACATTTGTTCAAAGACTGCAGAAGAATGCTGATGAGAAGGGAGAGAAAGCGGAACAGGATTTCAAATTTGTATGGACTCCAGAGTCTCGAATCATGGAGGCTGCACACCCCCCTGAAACCATCACTCTGAGATGATCTTTCAACTCTGAGCCAAAACTACCCCCTAGTATCTTTAAACCAACCAGTGCTTCAGCTCAACAAGTAAAATCATGTAAGACCTGTCTACACTGAGATCATGGTGGCAACAGCCACCTGAAAGATTAGGCAGGAAATTCAGGGGACAGTGAGTGTATGTCAACGAGGAAGGAACAATTCAGGTTGCACAATGCCATTTGTGTCGCTGAATTGTCCATATAGAATCAGAAACAGTTGAGTCGGTGTGTGTTTTGCTGTAAACAAGTGTCTCGGAAGTGATGGCAGACAAATAAAGCCTTAACTATATGCTCAGGCATTTTAATTTCACCTGAAGGTGATCTTTCGATGCCTCCAGTGATTAGCATCCTCAAATGCAACATCAGAAAGCCTGGTTCACATGGAGCCATCCTGTGCTGGGACCAGAAGGGGGGAGTCCCGGTCACTTTTCCTCCTTTTGTTCCCAGGCTACAGCACAGATGGAAGAGCGGCTGGCAGAATTTATTTCCTCCAACACGCCAGACAGTGTATTGCCCTTGGCAGATGGAGCCCTGAGCTTTATTCACCATCAGGTGATTGAGATGGCTCGAGACTGTCTGAACAAATCTCGGAGTGGCCTCATCACATCACACTACTTCTACGAACTCCAAGAGAATCTGGAGAAACTTCTGCAAGATGTGAGTGTCCTGCACCTGGTTTGGATGCAGCCTTAGTCCAAGTGAAGATCAGGGTCTTCCCAGCCTGCTGGCTATCGCGGGGGTGGCTCCATCACGCCCTCACCCCTGCAGATTTCCTTACTGGGGGTGGTACGCAGGGTTCACCCTCCACGGTGGTGGTGATGGGCGTGGATTCCTCCTCCGTCCCCTACGTTTCTGAGAAAAGCCTGTTTCCCACCTTGCTTGGTGTCAAAGGACCTCAACTCTGTGGGTACTTAGTTTTCTAAGTCCAGCTCTAACATTCTTAGTGTCCAGAAGTATTTAACCAGGAGATTTGTAACTGAGAGCCCCCAAATGACCACAGCAGCTGTTGTGGGCTCTCCTCGTAGAGATGGATTTAAGTTAGACTTTAGACCGTTTGTCTTCAGCCAAGGCAAAGAGATCCGAGGCTTCTGCTCTGGGCTTTTCCGTTTGCTGACATTCTGTTTGCATGGTGAGAATTTCTCTAGTGGGCATGTAGGTATTTAAAGGTCTGGTAAAAAGACTCTGGGAGGCCAAAGGTAATCCAGAGATGGCTAAGATCAAAGCATCGTTGAGTTCATCACCACCCCTCGTGTTCCAGCGCGTGCGCACTGTGTGGTCAGTTCCTGCAGTGAGGGAAGCAGGGATCAGAATGAGGGTGTCAGCCTGGAGAAGACATGTCTGCCTTCCTTAGTTCCTCTGGTTCCAGAACCCTTCAGTGTCTCCTTAAGTATTATCAGCTGAGCTGAGAATCCAGGGCTAGTGACCAAATAAGACTCCAGTGTTGTGGTCTAGGAATTAGGAGGGTCAAAGAAAATGTGTGTAAGAAAGAGCTGAACCTAGAGAAGAATGATTAAAGATAGTCCCGATTATTGCTGTCAAATATTAGAAACTCTCTCAAGTGGCAGATTGTTCTTTGTAGCCTTAAAAGACATAACTACACAATGGGTAAAAGTTATAGTGAGAAAGCTTTTGATTTAATAGATGGGGGGGTGGGGGGTGGTAATAGAAATTCCTTTTATAAATTTCCCCCCAAAAGTAATACTTAGATTCAGACATTCTATGGGGAATGCAGCCCTGAGGATGCAGGAAGAAGTATATTGCTGGTCTTGCTACGGAATGCTATATACCGTTTATTGAAGTACAGTGTGCCTGATGAGCACTAAACATGTAGGTCCTCAGCCCAGAGGAGGACGTGTGGACGTTGCATGGCGAGTTCAGGAAAGGTGGAGTCTGGAGGAGGAAAGAGTAGGTAGGGAAATGGTATGAACCACCTCTCAGAAGGTAACAGAACTGAATACTTCCCTGGAATGGCAAATGAAGGAGGTCGGCATGACTGGAGGGAAAAATACGTACAGGGGAAGTTGGTAGAGACATTTGAAGGGTTAGGCCAGGAGCCGAGTGGTCCAGGGCCTTAGGAAGAACTTAGAATTTATCCTGAAGGCAGTGGTTTTAAATAAGAAAAAGGTTCTATCCATTTTGCATTTAAAATCACTAATATGTAATGAGCACTTAATGCATGCTAGGCACTCTTCATTATCTCATTTGATTGGTCCAACCTTCACAAAAATCCTGTAAGGGAGGTTTTGTTATTCTCAAAACCTTATAAAAGCTTACAGACGTGGAAAGTGAAGCGTAAAGAGGCTAAGTAGCAGAGCCAGAAACCAAACCCAGCTTTGTTTTCAGCCAGAGCCCAGAATCCTGTCTTTCCAAATCGAGCGACTGAGCTACTTCTGTGTTAGGCTAAGCTTGTGAAGGAAGGAAACAGTGCGAGGGTACTGCCTCTCTCCTCACCAGGCCCTCCGATGGCTGTACAGACAGGATCTTTAGTGCCTGTGGTGGAAGCAAGCAGCTGGAAAAGCAGAAACTGACAGAATTGCGTGGTGTGCTTGTGCACACACGTGAGTGTATTGGGGGCAGTACTGGGTCAGGGGACTTGGGTGAGGCTTTAGAGAGTGAATGGCAGTCTTATAGAATAAGCAGGATTTCACCACCTGTCCAGCTTTTCTCTGCATGTCATAACCAATTTTTTAAAGAATTATCATTTGCTCTCGCCCCACCAACTTATTCACGACTCCCATCTTCTGCCTTGTGGCTTTCCTCTCGTCCTTTCACTAAGACTGTTCAAGCAGAAGTCGCCAAGAGCCCAGGGGGCCCATCGCCAGCTCCTATGACCGCTTTCCGTCCTCCCCATAACGCTCCAGATTTTATGTCTCTTCTTGAACCTTTTCCTTGTGTTGTTTCCTCCTGTCTTATATGCCGGGTGCCATCCTGCGTGGCTGGCCTCCTTTCTCCCTGCTCTCCTTGGCACCCTTGACTGGCTGCCGCTCCCTGGGCTCCCCCACTTTGAGACCCGCCCCTGTTGGTTAAGATTCTTGACTTACAAGTAACAGAAAAGCATCTTGGGGCAGGTACGCAGTCAGAGGAACTGATTCTGAGGATTGGAGAATTGAATGTAACCAGGCTTTCAGAAGGGTCCTGACCTAGACGCCAAACATGGGAGAAGCCCAGGAAACGCTCCTTCTCTCCGGGCTTTGTGGTAGACACGCACGGCCATCTCGGCTCACCCCAGGGCAGATGAGGTCAGTCTAGCCACTCTGAGATGGGCCGTTCTTGTCATCCCTTTGTAACTTCCTCGGAAGGAGAGTCTGATAAGCCCACGCCCGTCAGCTGTGGGGATGAGCGTCGTAAAAATAGGACTCCTGGGCTGAGCAAATCCTCAAAAGTGCCCACTGTCGATACCTCACACTCTACCAATCCAAGACGAGACCTATCTTTTCCCTAAATCTGCCCTTTCTCTCAAACCAAATGGAATGTGTTTTTTGCATTCCCTCACCTGAACTGCCTAGCTTATATTTCCTATTTTATTTAATGGTGTCACTGTTTCTTTAAAACTGACATCGGAAAAAAAGGAAAATGAGCTGATTCCGGGAACCCAAGAGGCAAGCGAATTTTGGGAATAATGAGGGCAACAAATGTATAGATATGTTTTATACAATTGATCTATGTATTGTGATGAATTGTATGAGCCCCAATAAATTGATTTAAAAAAAAAACTGACGTTATCTTCTATTGCTCCTCTTTTCTTAGACCTCACGGGCCTGTCGTCCTCAACGTCTGATGTGGCCCCTGTCTGGCCACTTCTCTCCATTCTTAGACTCTTGGCTTAGGCCTTTTTCCATCTGAATCATGGCAGTGGCCTGTTAGTGGTCTTTCCCTGCTTTGGTTAGAGGGCTTTCCTCTTCAGTGCATCTCCCACACGGCAGCTCAAGTGGCCTTTCTCAAACCCCACCTGCTCATACCAATCCCTGCTTTGAGGTCTTTCTGTCCCTTGCAGTCAGTCTGGGGTGGACGTAGCATCAATGAAGACTCCTTGAGCGTTGCCCTTGAGCTGGGGTCTGGAGGCTAAGTGAAGCTTGCTGGAAGGAGGAGCGGGTAAAGCTGGAATCTTGGTGCTGGTCCTTGGATGTCATGTGGTGTTTTTTCTAAAGCTCTCATGGCTCCTGATGAACAGTGTGCTCCCTTCCTCACAGTGCACGTGGCCTTCTCTGAGCTCCTTGCTGTGCAAAGCTTTCAGAGGGACTACATGTCCCTCGTAGGCAGCTCTGCCCAGCCCAGCACGCCAGGCCAGTGGGTGACCTCAGTGACCTTTCACCTCTTTGCAGGCCCACGAACGCTCAGAGAGCTCGGAGGTGGCCTTTGTGATGCAGCTGGTGAAAAAGCTGATGATGGTTATTGCCCGCCCAGCTCGTCTCCTGGAATGCCTGGTGAGTGGGCTCTGGGCAGGGGAGTGCGGCTGGGGTAGGAATAGGAAGCAGTCAGAGAAGGATCCTGCACACAGCAAGATGGTGTGGCACCTTCTGTCATTTCTGTTGCTGAGGCCTGTTTTTAAATGTGGTACGCACACATGGGGACCAGTGGGGCTCTCATGAGGAAAAGTGGATGGTTCTGGGGGATGTGGCAGGTACTAGTCTGGCCCACCCACACTGAGCAGGCCCTAGGCCACAGTGTTCCATTCAGCTCAGGGACAGAACAAGTCGAATCATTCAGGTCATCAATTGGCAACATTTTTCTTCCGTCCCTACTTCATGCTAGACCCTGGAGAGAGAGGCACGAGCAAAGCCACTCATCTCCAGAGTTGGGCATACGGTCAAAGCTTACTCTGTAGTAAGTGTAAGCTTGCTCTGTAACAGAGCGAGGGTGTATGGTGTGTGAGCTTGCAAGCAGAAGACATAATGACACCAGAAGCATCACAGCCGAGGTGCAAGGAGAACACAGTGAGAGAAGTGCTGAAGGCCCTGGCGCTCCCTGAAAGCTTATTCGGGAACCTGGAGGGTAGGGTGTGGATTTGTGTTGGAAAAGCCTCTTAGCTGCTTCGAGGACTTGGCCAGGGAGACTAGCCTGGTGCATTTGTGGAACTGAGTATGCAGACGAATGCACAGAAGGCTGTGTTTGGAGGAGTGGGGAAAGACGTGGAAGACAGGCCACGAGAAGTCCTGGGAGGCACCGCGTCTCCACTCACGAGTTTGCATTCGATCTGATGTGGCCTCATGGAACTTTAGGCCAGAATATGATATGGTTGAACTTTCTTTTCTTTCGAACCAACTTTATTGAGGTATAATTTATGTATAACAGACTATTTCTCCTTTGAGTGTACAATTCAGCGAGGTTCAACAAATAGATTCATACATGCCTGTTTTATCACTGCCATAGAGAGTATTTCTGCCACCTCATCATGGTCTCTTGTCTATTTTTGCAATCACTTCCTATCCACCCACCTCCCTGCAACCTTTCTCTCTCTGCAGAGGACCTCCGCACATCAGGTGCAGACTGCTTTCCTCAGCATCTTTTTTTTTTGTTGTTGAGATTCATCCATGTTGATACATATATCAGGAGTCAATTCATATTCATTTCTGAATGATATTTAATCAGATTTACTCCTTACAACAATTGCTCTGGCTGCAACTTGGAGAGTGAAGGACAGGTTGGCCCTGGTGGTCAGCACACAGGAAGGTACAGTCATTGCTGCAGACACTGGGGGGGCCTGAGCTCGGGCAATGGTAGGCGAACGGGGAGAAAGGGGAGAACCTTTGTGGGGACATTGCTGAGCAGATGGGGGTAATTAAGCAAAGGGACTTAATGGACTTCCAGGTGTAACTTAGCTTCTATCCAGATAGGCAGCCATATAGCCGGTGAGAACAGAGAGGAAGAAAGTCGGGTTGAAAGGGGAGCTGGACCTGATGGCCTCCCCTCAAACAGCATGAAATCCTTGATGAAACAGGCCTGGATTTGCATGCCGGAGTTTCTTTCTTTCTCCGGTGCATCTCAGTGTGCCGTGATTTCTCCACAGGCTTCTTCTGAGGGCTTAGCTCAGTGTGGCACTTCAGGGCCACTCAGTCAGGGGGGGCCCTCGCTACTATGTGCTCTAGCCCTTAGCACCCAGGAGCACACACAGCCTAGGGCTGTGAGCCAGCTCTCTTGTGACCCGTGACCGAGTGTCTGCCGAGACTGCTCTCTGGACGACGGGGCCGTCTGGCTGACAGAAGGCTGGGTGAATAGACTGGATGAAGCGCTCGTCTTTTTGCAGCTTATACTTGGATGCCCAGTCTGGAAGTGCCCTCCGAGACACTTTTGTCCCACCTGGGTGCTCGTGATGTTTCTGGGCATAATCCCTCATCAAGAGAAAGTCATGTTCCTCCCCTAGGTGTGTGCTGCAAAACCAAAGGGCCCTTCTTGTGCATTCTCAGCACTGACTCCCTTTCTCCCCTTCCCGGTGCAGGAGTTTGACCCTGAAGAGTTCTACCACCTGTTAGAAGCAGCTGAAGGCCAAGCCAAAGAGGGACAGGGGATTAAATGTGACATCCCCCGCTACATCGTTAGCCAACTGGGCCTCACACGGGGTCCCCTGGAGGGTGAGCATGCTGCCTGGTAGCCAGTCCCATAGTCATGAACAGGAGAGAAGCCGCTTGTAGAAGTGCTAGCTTGCACCTGAACATGGCACAACATTTAGGAGCCTCAGGACTGCAGGGGGCCACTCTGCATTCTCTGTTATTAAACAGCCTGTCCTTTGGAATTGCTGTTCACATCTGCCTGATATACCCCCATCGGGACTGCCTTGGGTCCAGCTGAGTTGAAATTAGAGCAAATCATTTTCCGCATGATTTCACCTCTTCCTGGCCATGTTCCCAGTCCTCCTGTATTTTGGGGGTATTTTGGGAACACTCAGGGCATCAGATGGTATCTCCATTCTTCTGGGCATCCGACTGCTTCTCTGTACAAACCATGGGCTTCCATCTCCCTGCCATATAGTCCTTGCCCTCCTGCCTTCCCTGCTTCACAGCAGAACTTGGCCAGCAGGATGAGGTCTGATAGCTCAGCTTCGGACCCTGCTTGCCAGGAAGCCTCCCAAGCCTCCAGTTCTACCAGAGAAGCTTTGTAGAACGTGCCTGGCACCGGGCTCCCAGCAGTAGAGGTAGAAATATTACACGTTTCCTGGTCCCAAAGCATTACCTGCTACCCTGCATGGACTTGAGGAAATGCCTGACATTGCCACGTACTTTGCTGTGGTGTCCTTGTTTTGTCTCTAGATATGGTCCAGCTGAGCAGCTACGACAGTCCCGATACTCCGGAGACAGATGATTCAGTTGAGGTAAAGCCCAGGACTGAGGAAACAAGCCTGTGAGATCCCTCAAGTCCAGAGGACACAACTCAGCTCCTCTGCAGAGCTTTGAATGGGGTGGGGGGTGGGGGGAGGCATGGCTGCAAACGCTGGCTGGGAAATCACTCGTCTACTGAGCTGGATTAGACAGGAGACTGCGGCATGCCAAGGCTCAGTCGAGCAGATGCTCTGCTGAGGGCATCCGCAAGTCTTTTTCTGTCTTCCTTCAGGGCCGGGGGGCACCTGTGCTATCCAAAAAGACTCCATCTGAAGAGGACTTTGAAACCATCAAGCTCATCAGCAATGGTGCCTATGGGTAAGGTTGGGGTTAAGGTGTGCAGCCGCTCTTGCCCCGGGCTCTTCCTTCTAGACGTGCATGACACCCAGGCTTCTGGACAGCAGATGCACGCTCTCCCTCCCTGTGGCTCCTGGAGAAGCCGGGGCTCAGCTGCTTCTCACAGCTGAGCATTGGTTCTTTCCCAGGCAAGACCTCCACCCCTGTTGGTAGCACTCCTCCCACCCCCGAGCTCTGGGGAGAACAGAGCCACGTCCTCAGGACTTGTATATCAGGTCTCTCCGGAGCATTCGTGGACCTCTAGCTGAACACCCACCACCCCCTTGTGTGCATCGTGTAGTGTGAGAGGACGTGGCTTGGTGCTGAGGGCCCAGGGCTGGGCTGGGGTGTATTCCCAGGGCTGTGTTTCTGGTGCGCCACAAGCCGACCCGGCAGCGCTTCGCCATGAAGAAGATCAACAAGCAGAACCTGATCCTGCGGAACCAGATCCAGCAGGCCTTCGTGGAGCGGGACATCCTGACTTTCGCCGAGAACCCTTTTGTGGTCAGCATGTTCTGCTCCTTTGAGACCAAGCGCCACCTGTGCATGGTGATGGAGTATGTTGAAGGTACCGAGGGACCGGGCAAGGTGCTGGGGGAAAGCCAGGGCAGGCCCTCGGGCTTCGCTCTGAGCTGGGGTCAGCAGCCTTGTCTAGAGTGGGGTTTCACCCAGCATCCCAAGCCCTCTTTGCCACGAGGTCTTAGAGACCACTTGGCCATGTTGGCCAAGGCTCCTTACCTTCTCCACAAGGGCTCACCACAAGGGCTGCCCCTGTCAAGTGCTCCCAAAGGCAGCGTGGACAGGAGATAGCAGCCCAGTAACTATAGAGGCCTGCCCCCTGAAGCCTGCTGGGCCAAGCAGAGCCATCGAAGCCCAAGACTGAGTCCTGGTGGGAGGGGCACACCTGGGCCTTCAGAAGGAAGGAAGGCCATTGCAGGCCTGGCTGATGACTGTGAAGGGGACACCCCTTGAAAGCATACGAAACGTCCTAGGCATCCTGGCCCAGCTCTAGAGAGAGCAGTTGTTCCGCCACGGCCCTCCCCACCGTTGTGTTGTATCGCTCCAAAAGATAGTGTTCTCCTTAAAGTTGAAGCTGAACACGGTGCTCTTTTAATTCAAGAGGTACATGCCAGGAATCTCGCCCGCCCCCAGTGTGACTTTATTCAGAACACAAAGGCATATCAGCATGAAGGGAACACAGGAACACGTGCGAAGATCTCAGTCAAATGTGTTTTCAACATACAAGTCAACCCACTGCAGAGGTTCGGCTTCCTTGCCTCTCAGGCCAGCGATGTGCCCTGGACATTCATTGGCTCATTCACCTCACTCCCCCCCCCCCAAACAGCCTTTGACCCCCAGCCACGTCAGCAGCAAAAAGGAGCTAGACCCCCAGGCTCTGGTAGCAGGTTACTGACTTCTGCGCTCTGTCCTATCTGCGCACAAGTCCTCCTCATGGTGGCCCGGCCTTGTTGCAGGGGGAGACTGTGCCACTCTGCTGAAGCACCTCGGCGCCCTCCCCGTGGACATGGTGCGTCTGTACTTCGCAGAAACAGTGCTGGCCCTGGAGTACTTGCACAACTACGGCATCGTGCACCGAGACCTCAAGCCCGACAAGTACGCCCACTCTCCGCGTCTCCGTCTGTGGCGCAAATAAGTGAATAGAGGGCTCAAGAGGGGCTGCTAGGAAACTGTCGATGTGTCTGTCTGTGTAGGCGTACTCTCCAGCTCCCCAGCCACCCAAGGTACAACAGCCAAGGTCTGTCAGGGACACTGGAGAGTGTCAAGGGCATGAAAGAGTCACTAAGGAGGCCCGCTTAAGAGACCAGGCAGGGACAACTTGTAGATGTCTGATCAAGTATTGCAGCATTGACTAACAAGCACTGAGCTGTGGCCTGGGGGAGCTGCCTTTCAATCAGCCACCAGCCGGCCTGTAGAACTCACCTGGTGTGGGGGACAGACACCCAGGAAACGCTGCTTGGAGAGCATGAGTCAGATGGAGGGTGGCGGGGGGTGGGAGGCAGAGCTGGGGAGAAGCTGCCGAGCCTCACTGGTGACAGAAGGCGATCCTGTCAGAAGTGAGGCCCTACAGCTGCAGCTGAGAAGTTAGTCCGCTGGGAAGGGCTAGGTTTGGGTTTTATTTTGACAGCCCTCGAAGGGCCTCTTCCTGAGTGCATGCTAGGCCGGTGTCCTCAGATTCCGGAGACTGGCTGCCCCGGAGGAGAGAAACAGACCCCCGCTGCAGAGACCAGGGCCTGCCAGCCCCTCCCTCTGTTGTGCCAGAATGTATCTAAAGCACCTCTCACAGAGCTCAGAACGGACATGGTGGGTGTTCCATGAGAGGAGGTGAGGGTACAGGTCGGGAGGCAGGGCTTGTTTGGCATAGGTTGAGGTTAGCTTGCCTGAGCGGCATGGGTAAGTGAGCCAGAGCCAGGGTGCTGAGTTGGGCGTCAGTGGAGTAAAAGGGTGGCTGGCAGGGTGAGGTCTGGCAGGTACCAGAATGGCTCTGACGGAGTGTCGGTGCTGAGCAATGACTCCTCAGAACTCTCGTAGTTCTGCTCCTCTCCACCCAGTCCTCCAAAGACAGGCCTTGAGACCGTGTGCCCTTCCCCTTCTCCCTGGAAAAGGAGGCCACCCAGGCTAGAAGATGAGACTAGGAGTAGGTAGGGTAACAGCCTCGGGATGAGGCTGGTGGTTTTGAGTGAGAAAATTCGGTTCTTCTGGCTGGCACCCAGGCCAGTGTGGAAGAGATGACGATGGGCGACGGGTACAAGGCAGATCCGGTGCATGTGCAGAATGCTGAACACACAAAGCCAAAGTTATTGCTCTTCCCCTACTGGTGTCTCCCTGCTGATGCCCCCACTTGCCCATAGAGCAGGGTGTGGGAGCCCTGGGCCCTCCTGGAAGACCAGGACATCGTGCCCTCATTTGGTCCTCCCTCTCCCAGCCTCCTGATTACATCCCTGGGGCACATCAAGCTCACTGACTTTGGACTCTCTAAAATTGGCCTCATGAGTCTGACGACCAATTTGTATGAAGGTCACATTGAAAAGGATGCCCGGGAGTTCCTGGACAAGCAGGTAAGGGAGATGAGTTTCAGGTCTCAGAATAAGAGTTTGGTGCCCCATGCTCACCCTGTGTTGGATGTTAAAAGCCTGGTGGCTTCCCCCTTTTTAGTCTAGGCAGGCATTGAGATAGGGTGCACCTTTGATGATGAACAGGGTGGGCCATGAGAAGAATCTTGTGGATCTAAAATTCAAAGCCAACTTTCTCCCTAAGGTTTAGAGAAAATAGGTAGCAGGACTCTTGACACTCCTGAATCTCCCACCCAAATACTGGTGCCCCTGTTCTGGAACACAGCCCCACATTTGCATGGGGCTCTGGCTTGGCTTCCTGCAAGTTGCCTCTGCGTGGCCTGGATTTGACATCCTGGCTTCCAACTGTAGTCCTATCACTGGTAGAGTACGTTCTTGGGAGACTGGAGGCCACTTGAGATTTAGCTGTCAGGAGAAGACGTTGAGAGCTATGGGAGTCCTGGTACCTGGCCAGATGATGTTTCAGCTCTGGTTCCTTGAGGCTCTTACTGATCTTGTTCATTAACTACGGTCACTCGTAGATTTCTCTACTCCTGAGGTGGGCACACACACACACACACACACACCCTCCTTGGGAAAGCTGCCTCACTTGGGAAGCTGAGCCGACCCGGCTTCTCTGTGTCCAGGTGTGCGGGACCCCGGAATACATTGCGCCTGAGGTGATCCTGCGCCAGGGCTACGGGAAGCCGGTGGACTGGTGGGCCATGGGCATCATCCTGTATGAGTTCCTGGTGGGCTGCGTTCCTTTCTTTGGAGACACACCGGAGGAGCTCTTTGGGCAAGTGATCAGTGGTAGGTGCCCAGGGAGGCAGCAGAGTGTGGGCTAGAGATGGCTCACGCCCGCCCCAGGGAGGGGGAGGCTCATGAGACCTGTCACTTTGTGTGTGTGTGTTTAATATGCTTATATGGGGGTGGGTGGGGAGGCGGGCACGGTACACACATCTGTGCCCCTCCTTTGCATGTGCTGTGTATGTGTGTGTGAGTGAGAGTTCAGTGGTGGGGGTGCAAAGGGCAGGGTCAGCTAGCGCCTCAGGACAAGGGGGCAGGTACTAGGGAAGTTCAGTCTGGAAGAGGGAACAAGCTGGGTCCAAGGTCTGGGAGGCTCTCTGAGGCAGGGGGGACCTGTGGACCTCGGGGATGGAGGCCCAGGCAAGGCTTTCAAGGCTTGGGGCTCCCTGCACTCAGACTCTCCTGGGCCCCTCTTCTATCTTCCCCTCTGCCCACGGCTTCCAACTCTTGTCTCGTCTCTTGACGACTCCCCAGATGAGATTGTGTGGCCTGAAGGGGATGATGCCCTGCCCACAGATGCCCAAGACCTGACCTCCAGACTCCTTCGCCAGAGCCCTCTGGAGAGGCTGGGCACAGGTAGGACAGGCCCACTGTCACCAGTGCAAGGTGTGGCGGGGTGGGGGGTGGCTGGAGAGGCTGTGCAGTGGGAGGGAGCCTTCAGTGTGGACAGCCCTTCGGGCCGGGGACCTCTGCCTTGCTCCTTGTTGGAGGAGCGCCAGAGCACCAGCCTCCACCCAGCACAGCTCCCCACCACCACCACCACGTGCACAGGCAGTGCCTATGAGGTGAAGCAGCACCCCTTCTTCACGGGTCTGGATTGGACAGGACTCCTTCGCCAGAAAGCCGAATTTATTCCTCAGCTGGAGTCCGAGGATGATACCAGCTACTTTGACAGTAAGTGTTGTGGGGTCAGTCTTGCCTGCCTGACCTTGGCACTGAGACCCTACTGAGATCTGATAGGGTCACCAGGGCCCTCTGAAGGGGTCTGTTGTGTGTGTGGCTAGCGCGCTCGGAGCGGTACCAGCACGTGGATTCAGAGGATGAGGAGGATGTGAGTGAGGACAGCTGTCTGGAGATCCGCCAGTTCTCTTCCTGCTCGCCCAGGTTCAGCAAGGTGCGCGGGCGGGCGGGTTGGCAGGCCGCGGGGGAGGGCTGGGCTGCAGGTGGCAGGTGCTGCTGAGACCACAACAGTCTGCCTGGCAGGAGACCCAAGATGAGGCCCCACCAGGCCAGTGGAAAAGCTGCTTCCCCGAAAGTTCACCTGATGGGAGGAAGGCGGTGGGGTGCCCAGAGTACATCATTGCTTCTTGGGGGGGGGTTGTTGCACCCCTCCATTGCACCCCGCCCCCAGGTGTATAGCAGCATGGAGCGGCTCTCTCTGCTCGAGGGACGCCGGACGCCACCCCCGACCAAGCGCAGCCTGAGTGAGGAGAAGGAGGACCGCTCCGACAGCCTGGGGGGGCTGAAGGGTCGAGATCGGGGCTGGGTGATTGGCTCCCCTGAGATGTGAGTACCCGCAGGCAGTACAGCCTCAGACAGGGGCTGCCTGTCGTGGGAGGGTGGGGGGGACGGCCCTCGGGAAGAGCGCAATGAGGGGGCAGCACCCATTGGGTGTTGGGGAGGAAAGGTCTATGACCCTCACCCGAGTGAAGGGATGGGTTGGGGTCTCCCACAGACTGCGGAAACGGCTGTCAATGTCTGAGTCTTCCCACACGGAGAGTGACTCGAGCCCCCCGCTGACGGTGCGGCGCCGCTGCTCCGGCCTTCTGGATGTGCCCCGCTTCCCAGAGGGCCCTGAGGAGCCGAGCAGCACCCCCAGGAAGCAGCAGCAGGAGGGCACGTGGCTCATGACACCCCCATCTGGAGAGGGGTTATCTGGGCCTGCCCCTGAACAGCCAGTAGAGCAGCGGCTGGTGCTGGAGGAGGAGCCTCTGCCCCCGAGCCGAGGGTGCAGTCCAGGTGTGGCCAAGCAGGGGCCTCAGGGCCTGGGCTGCCTGCCGGGAGGGCTGCTCAGCAGCACGGGAGCTCACTGCTCACTTGGACCCACAGCCGCGGAGACCCGAGGAGGCCGAGGGACCCTGCAGCTGGCTGAGGGAGCACCAGCCAAGGCCATCAGTGACCTGGCTGTGCGCAGGGCCCGCCACCGGCTGCTCTCCGGGGACTCTATAGAGAAGCGCGCTGCCCGCCCCATCACCAAAGTGATCAAGTCGGCCTCAGCTACCGCCCTTTCCCTTCTCATTCCTGCAGGTGAGGCCCCTGGGGGACAAGGGCAAAGGTCGATGCTGGACTTGGTAGACCTTGGGCAGGAGTCCACATGTGACAGCGTGTGTGTGTCTGTCTGTCTGTCACTTGTCTGTGTGCGTCAGACAGCTGGAGAGGATAGTGTGACAAGACCAGCTCTCAAAGCAGGGCTCCTAGGCTTACTTGGCGCTTGACCTTGAATAGGTTGCTTAACCTTCTAGATCTCAAGTTCCCCATAGTAGCAGCAGTAGCAGCAGCAGCAGCTACCACATAAGAACTTGTGACCGTTGGCTATGTGTATGAAGAGCTTCTAGTCCCTGATACCTAGAGTCAGCACTCAGTACAAACCAGCCCACCTCTACCATCGCCGGGGTCTTGGGGCCTGGGCACGGTCAGGTGCTGTGGGAAGATAGGCCACACAGGGCAGGGTTGGGAGCTGGTGGGCTAGGCCACTCTGACTTACTAAGCCCCAGTTCCTCCCCCCAGACCATCACACCTGCTCTCCGCTGGCCAGTCCCATGTCCCCACATTCCCAGTCGTCCAACCCGTCGTCCAGGGACTCTTCTCCAAGCAGGGACTTCCTGCCAGCCCTGGGCAGCATGAGGCCGCCCATCATCATCCACCGCGCTGGGAAGAAATACGGCTTCACCCTGCGGGCCATCCGCGTCTACATGGGTGACTCCGATGTCTACACTGTGCACCATATGGTGTGGGTATGTCTGGCTCCTACTGCACCTGCTCCTTCGCAGGGCCTCTACGCTGCCTGTGCCCCCGCCCACACCACGCTGAAAGCACCCAGGGTCGGGCAAGGGAGGTGGCAGTTTGGTGAGCAGAACCAGACGCCAAGCTGAGGCCCCTTTTCTCCTGGGGCAGCATGTCGAAGACGGAGGACCAGCCAGTGAAGTGGGACTTCGTCAGGGTGACCTCATCACCCACGTCAATGGGGAGTCCGTGCAAGGGCTGGTGCACACGGAGGTGGTGGAGCTGATCCTGAAGGTTAGTGCTGGGCTGGCCCAGATACCAGGCACTGAGGTCAGGTAATGAGGAGTTAGGAGAGCTAAGGAGTAGCCGCAGCAAAGGGCACCCTCCCTGGCCAAGGCGCAGGACCCCTCAGAGCTGTGGGCAGGACTGGCAAGCAGGACAGGTGAGTCACTTTGCTTCTCTGCTTTCCTGAGCGGAGCTCTCTGAGGTCCAGAGCGGTCAGGAAGGAAGCTAGGTGTCTGGTGCAGACAGGTGGGTGCAGGGTTATTGCTGCAGCCACCCTGGGGTGGGAGTGAGGCAAGGGTGGGGCCACAGCCTGTCTCAGCCTCACACTTTGCTCCTTAGAGTGGAAACAAGGTGTCTATTTCAACGACTCCTCTGGAGAACACGTCCATTAAGGTGGGACCAGCCCGGAAAGGCAGCTACAAGGCCAAGATGGCCCGCAGGAGCAAGCGGAGCCGGGGAAAGGATGGGCCAGAGAGGTGAGCCTGGGTGTCTGCAGGGACCGACTGGGAGCGGTTGTGTGCAAGCGCCCTGGGCAGGGCCCGCGTGTGTGCCCTGTGCCCCAGCCCCATCCCCCCTGGCCCTTGTCTCTGCAGCAAGAAAAGGAGTTCCCTGTTTCGGAAGATCACCAAGCAAGCCTCCCTGCTCCACACCAGCCGCAGCCTATCCTCCCTCAACCGCTCTCTGTCCTCAGGGGAGAGTGGGCCTGGCTCGCCCACGCACAGCCACAGCCTGTCCCCCCGCTCTCCCACGCAGGGCTACCGCGTCACCCCGGATGCTGTGCACTCGGGTATGAAGGGCTTCTGTAGTCTCACAGGTGATCCCTGGGAGGTAGGAAAGGGCCTGCCCCTCCCTCGGTGCCTCTCCCAGACCTCACCCCAGAAGACCCAGGCGGCCGGCAGGGGGTGGGGTGTGTGTGGTGTGTGGTGGTGGTGGTGGAAGAACACCTCCGGAGAGCGGGTTGGCTTGTGGCTGTAGCCTGGGCATCCCCCATTTCCTCAGTCACTTCTAAACACTAATACTGCTCTGCCTTGTTTTGTCTCTCTGTGCAAAGTGGGAGGAAATTCATCACAGAGCAGCTCCCCCAGCTCCAGTGTGCCCAGTTCCCCAGCTGGCTCAGGGCACACACGACCCAGCTCCCTGCACGGTTTGGCACCCAAGCTCCAGCGCCAGTACAGGTCCCCGAGGCGCAAGTCGGCTGGCAGCATCCCCCTGTCCCCGCTGGCCCACACCCCGTCCCCTCCACCGCCAGCAGCCTCACCTCAGCGCTCTCCATCGCCCCTGTCTGCCCACGGGGCCCAGGCCTTCCCCACCAAGCTACACTCTTCGCCTCCCCTGGGCAGGCAGCTGTCTCGACCCAAGAGCGCGGAGCCACCCCGTTCACCGCTGCTTAAGCGGGTGCAGTCGGCAGAGAAACTGGCGGCTGCCCTGGCAGCCTCGGAGAAGAAGCTCGCCACCGCCCGTAAGCATAGCCTGGAGCTGCCCCAGCCTGAGCGGAAGAAGGAGCTGGCACCCAGGGAAGGCAGCCCTCTGGAGGTGGTAGGGGCCCGGAGCGTGCTGTCTGGGAAGGGGGTGCTGCAGCCTGCTCCCTCCTGGGCCCTGGGCACCCTCCGGCAGGATCGGGCTGAACGAAGAGAATCACTGCAGAAGCAAGAGGCTATCCGAGAGGTAGACTCCTCGGAGGATGACACCGACGAGGGGCCTGAAAACAGCCAGGGCACTGAGGGACCCAACAGGGCAACTCACCTGGAAGTGGGCCGCAGCCCACTTCTCAGAGGAGCGGGGCAGGGCAGAGACGATGTCTTCCCGCCCAGTGACCCCAAGAGCCAGAGTTCGGTGGCTCCAGACTTACTGATGGGGCTCACACTGGGGGCTCTCAGAACAGAAGGCCCCAGGACCCCCGAGAGGCAACTTGGAAGCCTGAAAGCCTCGGAGAAGGCTGCCAGCACCTCCTCGCCAGCCCCCAGCCTGACTAGGCCTGGCCCCCCGACCCCTGCCACCACAGAGGGCTGCTGGGAGGCTCAGCAGCTCCAGCCCCAGGCACTGATGGCACTTTGTCCCTGCTCTTCAGGACCCGCCCCCACCAGTCACTCTGACATTTCCTCCACCCCCGGGGAGCTAAGCCCATGGTCTTGGAGATTCCTTACTGAGGGCCCAGACAAGGCATCCCCAAGTAGAAGGGCAGCACTGGAAGTTAGGCTAGCCAGTCCGCGGGATTTAGGAAGCACAGTGCCAGTCCCCCTTGACAACCTGTCTCCCAGTCAGGAGGGGAAGGCACCACAACCTAGTGCCCCAGGACTGGCCCACTCGCCTGGTAAGGTTCCCAGCCCTAGTTGGCGATGGGAGCCTGGACGTCCACCCCAAGTAGAGAAAGACCTGGAAGAGGCAGCCCTTGGCATCACCGAAGTGCCTGATGCCTCAGGTGTCAGCAGGCAGGATGCTCCGTGTGGAGGCTGCCTACACACCCAGGAGGCTGGGCCCAGCCCGCTCCGAAGGGACCGAGAACCAGGGGGGCCTCAAAAGCATCAGGGCTTGGCACTGTCTCCTGATGAGATTTCAAAGCAAACGTAACAGTTGTCTGCCATTACTTGCACTGAGACTGGTTGTAATATAAGATCTTGGAAACCTCCTTGATGTCTTTTGCTTGCTTCCTTCCTTCGTCCATCCACCATGTGTAGGCTGGTTCTTTGGGTTGTTACTGAGATCATCGTGGTGACAGGACAGCGCGCATCCTCAGAAGGGCACTTAACCAAGCTTGCCGCCTCAGACACACTGAAGTCTACGCTCAAAACAGGGAGGACAGGTGACAGGCAGGGAGAGGGGGAGTTGGCTGTTTTAAGGAAGTACGCTCAGGCAAAGACACTGGAATTGAACTCCTTGGGAGTTCTCAGACAGAATCTTGCCGGGAGCAGTCTCGTCTTCTGTGACTGCTGGTGGGCTTCCACTGCCAGCCTTGTGGTTTGATAACCCATTTTTCAACCCATAGTGCCACCGGGGCTGGTGTATTAAAGAAGCCAAAAATAACCCGCAGTAGGAACGGGCCTTGCTCCTCTTAGAAAACAAGGGAATCAAAAAGTCTGAACTTTTAACCTTTTACTGTGAATTATGTGAAAATGTACAGAGTGGCTCATTCTTTTATTCAACAACTTATCAAATCTCCCAATGGCTTGCCCTATTTGAACGTTTTTGGTGTTTTTTTTGAGTTTTGTCTGTGAGTTCTATTTTTTTTTTAAACATTTTATTAGGGGCTTATACAACTGTTATCGCAATCCATACATACATCAATTGTGTAAAGTACATTTGTACATCATTCTCAAAACATTTTCTCTCCACTTAAACCCCCGACATTAGGTCCTCATTTT